TCAAATATAAAATACATAAAAACATATAAATTACAAAAAAAATACAAATTATAGAAATTGCAAACAAAATAAAAAATTATTTTCAAATTATAGAAACTATAGAAAATGATAAACAAAATCATAAAATAAAATTTGTAGAGAAAAACAACAAAAAATTATAGATTGTAGAAAATAGAAAATGTAAAAAAAACAGAAATTATAAAAAAAAACATTAACAATGCAAAAAAAAAAAACAATAAATTGAAAACTGAAAAAAGACCATCTTCCTCTAACTCACCATTCAAGGGTAATTTGGTCACGAAAGTTGTTTATTATGCTGACATGAACACCTCTGCTAAGAAGCATTAACGGTGCACTAACGGAAGGTGAGTTTTGGAAAATAAAAGCTTATTAACATGGTGAGTTTTAAATATTTTGAAAAGTTGTGATGAGTTTAAGATAAATGTTGAAAACTCATGGTAAGTTTTAGACAATTTCCCTTAAAAAAAAGTACTAAATACATGGGTCATTCTCTACTACTATATTGTATATAATTACATAAAGTTTATAATTAATAACAATAAAACAATTTCGGATCAAATTCAATTGATTTGCAACCCGTATGTACCTAGGTCTGATTTGAATCCAACACAATTAAAACCACAGTGGCATCATTGTGCGTTCACAAATCTCTCTCTCTCTCTCTCCCTCTCTCTCCCTCTATTTATCTATCTATATATCTAATTGTATAGGTTTCCCTACCTTTCGTTCAAACCAAATACAAGTGATGTATGCAGGGGTACACATGGATTGGGCCTAATTTTGGAGTGCCCTATCTCTCTCTCTCCATCAACTCACTCAAATTGTATAGGTTTGCCTACCTTTTCTCTTAAGCCAAACACAACACAAATGATGTATGTAGGGGTATACATGGGCCGCATTGTAATTTGATGCACTTGTGTTGGGCTTGGGCCCAAGTTAGGTAAAGTTGGTTAATGAACCCACTCTAGAATTACACATGTATATATGCATTTGTGCAAATACGTATGCATATGTGTCTATATATGTAAACGTGTGGGGGTGGAAATGAGTCGAGTTTTTTTCACAATCTATTTGAGCTCGGCTCATGAAAAGCACGATTTAGCTCAATTTAAATCGAGCTTTGAGTCGAGCTCGAGCCAGATATATAGGCCCGTTTGTTAATTAAGCCGAGTTCGAGCCTAATGAGCTCTTGTGAGCCAATTCAAGCCGAATGCATACATACATACACATGCACGCATTATATATAATGACTTTTTATTATATAATAATACCATATATAATATTTTTATTTTTTATATGCATGATAATAAATAATGTTTATATGTATACTTTTAATTTTTTATATGAAGTTTGGCTTGTGGTAAGCTCGAGTGGAGTCGAACTTTAACTTGTGAGCTTTTGTGCTGAGTCGAATTTGAGCTCGAGCCTAATACTATTTTGGCGAATCCACTCCTATAAACATGTATGTATATATGCATTAATGTGTATAGTTAGTTCAAGCTCAAGCTAGGACAAAGTTGGGTTGGGTTCAAACTACCTAAGGGCTAGACTTCGACCTMCCYCCCCCCCCCCCCAAAAAAAAAAAGCACAAGGTCATGGGCCCAAGACCAACCTAAGGAGTGAAAATCCAAGCCTAACCTTTGTAAAATTTTGGAATTGGACAGTTAAAACTTAGTTTGGATCTGCCCAGTTGCACACTTGCTATCTAGATTGGTTGGGAATTCAGGACATATTGTATCGGTATTGATGCACATAGATATTGATCTGGGCCCATATTGATGCATATCCTCATTGTATTGGGTTGATAAGCATTGATACTATTAAATTCTCAACTACTAAGTCACATTGTTTTTTCGTGATAATACATGAAATGTGATAAATTTTATTAACTTTTGTGTTCACATGCAATCCAATCAAATAACATGTGTTTATGTTGAACAACTATAAATTAAAAAGAACAATATTCAAAATTGACATTTTACAAATCAATGGAATAAATAATTGATATATTCACATTTATATAAAAATTAATAATTATTTTAGTACTTAAATTTTATAAAATTGCACATGATAAATTTATAATTTTTATAAATTATATATTATTATTTTAATTTACATCAAATAAAAACATATTTATTATTTATATAAAAATAAAATATTTTAGAATATAATATTAAGTTGAATCCATCAAAATCCACTAATTTACATTTATATCAAAAAATTTATTTTTAGTTTAGAAAAACATAAAAATAAAAATATTAACACTAGAATAATTATTTTAGTAATTAAAAATGAAGATTTTGCATATGACATGTATTTTATAATTTTCAACAAATTTGATAACATATTTATTGTTACAAAAACACAAATATTATTCACCAAACATGTGAAGATTTGAAATTTAATTGAATGTTTTGCCAATGTTAAAATTTAAAATAATAAAATAAAAAATTGATATAATAATTATAATATAATGGTTGTATATATTTTGTGCTTTGAAATTAAATAGAAAATAACAAAATAATAGATTTATACATGTATTTATTTATAAGAAACTATAATATATATTTTGAACTATTAATTGATGCATCATCAATAAAATTGTATTACATTTATACATCTTATTGTATAATTCTTTATACGTCATTAAAAAATATATATTTTCTATTACAGTTGTGATGGGTCGGGTTCAAAATACCCGATACCAATACAATACTTTTATCCTTCGTAGTAAAAAAAGGGGAAAATTCCCGATACTTACCCCGTACTTTAGGCCGAGTGCCAATTTAGTACCCAAACTTTAAAATGCGACAATCTAGTACCCGAACTTTCATTTTGCAACAATAATCTAGTACCTACTGTTAATGGACCGTCAGTTATGTATATCACTTGACCTCATCTGCATTTAAGACTTTTAAAAAATATCAAATTTACCCTTGGACACTGTTCATCATCTTATTTCTCAAGAAAATGAAACAAAGCCCAAACACATTGTTCATCATCTTCTTTCTCAAGAAAATTAAGATAAGGTTTCGGGAACCCAAAATCAGAGATAGTGATAACCCATCACTAAGGGGTTACTACAAGTCTACAACCAACCGACCCATGTTACTATGTTAGCACCACTAAAATCAGAGATAGTGATAACCCATCACTAAGGTAAAAAAAGACACGTCGTATCTGTGAAAAATGATAACAAGAAGCAATAAAAGGAAAAGAACCAAACCCCATAATCTTCAATAACAAATCTCCAATTTTTCAATATATAATTTAGACTCCACTTGAGCTTTCAAACCTTGAGTATTTGCAGCTTAGTCGAGAAAGCAATCACAACCCAATCCGGCTGAGTTGACGACCATTATAGATGTTCAATTGCCACCCTGACCATATAAGCCAGAATTGGATTCAATCCACCCTCCACCGGCTGACCCATTGACAAAAGATCCCATATCAAAGCCTGAGAGTGATCTCTAGTCGTACATATATGACAACTATTATGTGGCGCCCAAGCTATTGTGTTAACACTATCCTGGTGCCTCTGCAATTATACCACTGGCAGCATCGGAAACCGGATGTCCAAAACCACCACCTTAGCATTGTCTATAATTATGGTTGCCATGTACCTTGTGTCCTTCTTGTTCCACCCCAACCGCACGAGTGGCGTGTCGGGCTCGGAGCTTTCATAGATGATAGTCGAGTGCTCATTGTCGTGTAAATCGAAAACCCTAACGGATCTATTTGCGAAAACCAAAGCGAAAACTCCAACGCCTCACCAGGAAATATTGTAGACCTCCTTATCGTGCACGATTAACTGGGTATCTAAGGTTTCCTTCTCGATATCCCAAATAGTGCAAGTGGTGTCGATGCTTGAAATCCTGATTCGCTTCGACTCGGCTTCATTCCAGTCGAAGGAGGTGAGGGGGCCGCACAACTCGCTGTTCTTGTTGCTGTTGAGGAGGCTCTTGAGCTTGACCCGATTATTAGAAATGTGCCATACACGGAGAAAGTCACCCGAGGTGGCGAGGAAGTCGGGTTTCTAGCACTCATTGTCAGGGATGAAAATGGTCTTGGTGGGTGGGTAAGGGTGTTCGAAGGAGAGATTTGGGTCTGAGCAATTTTCAACAGTGGAATCGTTGAGTTGGACGATTTCAACCGGCAAGTGGCAACCTAACCATTTTCACTATGTGTGGATGTGACAACCGTCTTTCATCTCCGTTGTGGATAAGAAGAGGGAGGAGAGCGAGTGATATTTTTCTGATGTTCTTCGTTGATATAATTTCAAAAGCAACCCAATACGAAAATATACAATCTTTTCAGTTTTCACTTATCCTCTCTTCCTCTTATTATGATATTTTTCTGGTGTTCTTCATTGATATGTTTATGGTTTATTTGACTTTTTTTGGTGTTCTTCGTCTTCTCTGGCAACATCATCGGCGTGAGGCGGTGAGGGAGTTGGTTTCCGGAATCTCAGTAACTACAAGTGTGAATAGTGGTTTCCACTTGTATTGGTTGAAATAGCTGATGGGTCAGATTCATAATTTCAATTGAAAATTCATGCATTACTCGAAATAGCTGAGGGGTATTTAGGCCATATTATCTTCTAATTGACGATGAATTAATGCTGGGTATTAAATTATCACAAAATAAAGGGAAAATCTATGATACGAGAAAGATATGATATGGAAAAAATTTTAACCAATCAAAACCCACACATGAATTTTGATAAATAACACCTGATTCACTATCACATTTATGATTCCAATTTATTGATGAATTGTTTTTCCGATATCATATATTTTCCATATAATAGTTGAACCCCAAAATAAAAATTCGGACGTTCGAGTACTAAATTGAAACTCGTCCTAAATTACATATTACCTATCGTGAATTTTCCCTAAAAAAACACTCCTCACGTGAGTTGAAACATCGAATATCCATCAATTTTCCTTCTTTTTTTGAAATGCTCTAGTTTCCGCGCTCACAACACAACAATATCGAAAAAACCCTCACATCGATTAAACCCCCAAATTCGGAAAAACACAAGACAAAAAAAATGAAACTTCACCTCCTCTCTCCCTCACACTCACTCCCTTGCACTCGCTACTGGACCAACTTATAAGATCTCAGAATCCGATCGTAATCCTCCATGGAAGAAGACCAGAAGATATTGGATCTAGTTAAAGAGCTCGTTCTTCGCTTACTTTCACCAAATGGAGCCGATTCAGGCCCATCGGACCACTCGATCGACCACGTGAAGGCGCTCAAATACGCCATGCGCATACTTGGCAGCCGGATGACGCCTTCAATCTCAGTCGACGAAGCCGCCATGGCTGAGTCTATCAAGCGCAATCTCGTTAACGAAGGTAAGTCTTCTGATGCCCTAACCTTCGCCGATCTGTATGCCAAGTTCTCTTCCAAGTCTGGTCCTGGTAGTATACATAACAAATGGGGCGTCCTTTACCTTCTCAAAGTGATATCCGAGGATCGAAGAAAAGAGAAGAAATCTGATTCTAGAGTTTCGTCTGGTTTCTTTGCTTCGACGGTATCTGGTGGTCTACCGCTCTTGTTTGACGGTGAGTCCGATAATTGTAGGGTTCCTAGGAATCAGAAGACCTTAGACAAAGGTTGGAATGGTGGTGTTTTGCTGGTTTCAAAAGATCCAGAAAATATCAGGGACATTGCCTTTCGGGAGTTTGCAGATTTGTTGAAGGAAGAGAGCGAGGTTGCGGAGGCGGTTTTGGTTAGGGATGTATTGTATGCTTGTCAAGGAATCAATGGGAAGTATGTGAAATTCGATAAGAGCATTGATTCTTATGTGTTGCCGGAATCCATTAAGGTACCCAGAGCAACGAGAATTTTGGTTCGGAAGCTTTGCGAATTGGGTTGGTTGTTTAGGAAGGTCAAAGGTTATATCACCCAGAGTAGGGAGAGGTTTCCCGCCGAAGATGTTGGAACAGTTGGGCAGGCCTTTTGTGCTGCATTGCAGGACGAACTGTCTGAATATTACAAGTTGTTGGCTGTGCTTGAAGCTCAGTGTACGAATCCCATTCCAATGTTTTCTGAAACGGAAAAAACGGGTAACTATCTCTCGCTGAGGCGATTATCAGTTTGGTTTGCTGAGCCATTGGTGAAAATGAGGTTGATGGCGGTTCTGGTTGATAGTTGCAGGGTTTTGAGGGGTGGTGCAATGGCCGGGGCAATTCATATGCATGCTCGGCATGGAGACCCATTGATTCAAGACTTCATGAGGCGCCTTCTTCGTCGGGTCTGCTCTCCGCTTTTTGAAATGGTGAGGAGTTGGGTTTTGGAGGGAGAGCTAGATGATATTTTTGCAGAGTTCTTTGTTTTGGGTCAGCCTGTGAAGGCTGAGTCCCTCTGGCAAGAAGGGTACAGACTCCATGCAGGGATGCTTCCATCTTTCATCTCACAGTCTCTTGCTCAGCGGATATTGAGGACTGGGAAATCAATCAACTTCCTTCGTGTTTGTTGTGAGGACCAGGGTTGGGCAGATGCTGCTACTGAAGCAGCAGCTGCCGTTGGGACTACAACTCGGAGAGGAGGGCTTGGATATGGTGAGACTGATGCCCTCGAATCACTGGTCACCAAAGCTGCAAAAAGGATAGACAAGCATCTAATGGATGTCATGTACAAGAGATACAAATTCAAGGAACATTGTCTTGCAATTAAGCGCTATTTACTTCTTGGCCAAGGTGATTTTGTTCAGTACCTAATGGATATTGTAGGACCAGAGCTTTCAGAGCCTGCAAACACCATCAGCTCATTCAAACTGGCTGGATTGCTGGAAAGTGCAATACGTTCATCTAATGCACAGTATGATGATCCAGATATATTGGAGAGGTTAAGGGTCAAAATGATGCCACATAGTACTGGGGATAGGGGTTGGGATGTATTCTCATTGGAATATGATGCAAGAGTGCCACTAAATACCGTATTTACAGAATCAGTCATGGCTAGGTATCTTAAAATTTTCAATTTCCTTTGGAAACTTAGACGCGTTGAGCATGCCCTTATAGGAGCCTGGAAGACAATGAAGCCAAATTGTATGACGTCTCACTTTTTCACAAAGCAGGAAGGTGCTATTAAGCTGCAGTTTATTTCGACATTGCGGCGGTGCCAGGTTCTTTGGGATGAGATGAATCATTTTGTCACTAATCTGCAATATTACATCATGTTTGAAGTTTTGGAAGTATCATGGTCCAATTTTTTAGATGAAATGGAAGTGGCAAAAGACCTTGATGATTTGCATGCAGCACATGAGAAATACTTGCATTCGATTGTGGAAAAGTCTCTTCTTGGAGAGCGATCTCAATCACTTTCTAAGACACTCTTTGTCTTACTTGACCTTATATTGAGATTCCGTAGTTGTGCAGATAGGTTATATGAAGGTATTCATGAACTACAAGCAAGGTAAGCCTCATTTTTTTGTCATTCTGAAGTATAAATTGCTTTCTAGGAAAGTTATTAAGCGTACTTTAGCCATGTATTTCTACTTGTTGAACCACATTTGGTTGCCCTGTTTTGCAGAGCAATGGAGTCCTCCCGGGGCAGGAACAAGTCAAGGTCAAGATCAACTGACGAATCTTTAGAATGTGGGTCATGGACTGGTGGTGGCAGGAAGGCCCTAACACAACTAGCTGGAGAATTTTTTCGAAATATGAGATCAGATTTGGATACAGTTGCAAATGAGTATTCATCGTTACTTGAGGGATTCATCACTCAATTGCCTGTTCAGCAGCATGTTGATCTGAAGTTCCTTCTGTTCCGGCTAGATTTCACTGAATTCTATAGCCGGTTGCGCCCTAGTACGTATGTTAACTAGCTTGGTGAAGAAACCGGTTTTCTGGAATACCTTCACTACTTAAACAGTGAACAATTAGCGTGCTTCCATTTGCCCTTTGCCACCTTCTGCAAGTCAACAATCATGATGTGGCTGGCTTATCAGGACCAAGCGGTTCATTTTTCACCGTGTCTTTACATACTGGTAAGGTTTTTTTGGAGGTTTATTACCTTGTAGCAATAGGGAAAAATCTCAGGTTGTCAAGTGTGAGAACATGGGTTTGAGTCTGAGAGAGACCACTTTGTGCAAAAAATTACCATAGGACCATATCCAGTCCACCCCTCCCAAGACCCCAGATAGCTGGGACCAACATTGGGTAATGGCCTTTTTTAACCTTGTAGTGATATGTATCTGCTCTTGCTGTATAACACCATTCTTTCTTTTTCTTCTTTGCAGACATTCTTTACTTCTTTCTGATGGCTAGTGTTGAAATTTTCTCTTGTTGAATGCTGAGGTATATTGTTTTTATTGACTCAGGTCTTAGGGTTAAAGTTACATTGTACACGCTTTGTATATGACTGCTGCAATTATTTGTGAGTGTTGTGTGGCCGTGCAATATGTTCATCCTGAGTTTGTATATCTGTACAATATTCCTCTCTTGTTAAATCACAAGCATTGTGTGCAGTGATTTTCAAGACATTGTGGCTTTTGAATCTACTGTTTCCATTTGTTGTCTTTTTTGCAATTTTTCACCCTGAGCTTTCAATTGCAATAAATTGAGAATGAATCGAATATAACTTGTCTTGTGCTTCCCTGCTTCTTTTCTTATTGTGTGGTGCAAATTTCACCTGTGCTTTATTTGTACTGATTAAGGTGCTAATGAAATAGTGGGAGGGGATTTGGAGAAAGATATCTTACTGTGCTTACAAATTCTATGGCATGGTATTGTTTGGGAAAGACTGACCAAGCCTGGATTTTAGAGGGTATGTATTAGTTCGGTAGGTGAACTGGCGGAGTAGCTGATAACATCAGATTATTTAGCATTATGTTAGGTTGTTCTTTGGGTTTCCTTTTGATCAAATACCTGGCCTTATGATACATCTCTTTAGCAAAAAGGTTTTGGGGCTAGAGGTGGAACACCGGTTATATGAAATGTAGCCACCATTCTCTTGTTTTCTAATTATTTACTCTATGTATCAAATGGTTAACAACAGGGTTTTCTGATTCTTTTAATGTATTCCAGCACTTTTGGCTTATCAAGAGTGTTTTTTTTTATATATATATTTTTGGTTGTTAGTTTGAGCATTAGGAGTCATGAATCTAGCCACTGTTTAGTTATTTGTCAAGTTATTGGGTTAGAAGTTTGTAGTTGTAATATTTTTTTTCTCTTAGTTTTGGGTGCAGTGGCATTTTCTTTTGTAAAATATTAAACAGTTTTCTGTGGTTCTGCCACACACTGAACTATGAATTCTTCTCTTATCTTCTATTTGAAACTGATAAATGAAATTTTGATTTTTTTATTAATTACAAAGCTAATCAGTTTATCTTTTCTCCTTTGGCAAGAAACTCTAGTGAAACTATCTCTAGAGTTTGCTTCTGTTAGATCTCAAGTCAGATCAGCAAAGAAACCCTAGTTGGCCCAATCAGCCGCTTCTTTAACCTATTTCCCTCACTTTTTTCCTGCCACTTTTTTTTGTGAAATTTAACCTAATATCTCTTAATTTTCCACCTATATTATAGAATTCAGACTTTTGGAGGCCTTGATTCACTTGTTTAGCCTGTAAAACTATGATAATTTGCCACCCGAGCCCATACCTGATATGTCTACTTGAACTTACCAATTATTTCTCCTAGTTCTAGCTTTTTTGTTTATGTTTATCTTTGCTATAATCCTGGATTATTTGGTATTTGGCACCCATTTGACAGAATTCCCCAGCCCTCTTACATCATATTGTCATAAAAATCTGCTAGTTAACATCCCTACTCTATTACATGTCCAGCGTTGGTATTTGCATTGTGATTCTATAAGAGGTTAGATAATTGAAGGGGGAGATACTGTGGAACTGAAAGAGCAAAAGATATCATTTAATTGAAAAAAGTTTGTTTGCCAAAATTGTGATCTTTTGGCTATTTGAAACCTCACCCTTTTTTTAATGGTTTTCATGAGAAAACAACTTTGGACTGGAGAGGAGATTAAAGATAAGAGTATTTTGATGAGTGTGCATTAGGATAAGATAGCTCAAGATAATTATTTTGGTCTTTCCACCTTAATGCTGTTTGAGCTCAAGCTGTTGACGTGGGTGACATTTGGTAATTCTAAGAGCTGATCTTTCGATAGCAAAAAATCTTTGGAAAAGCTCTGGTTTAGCAACAGACTGGAGGAATGAGTCCAAATATGATGACTGAAGTGGTTTGGAGGAAGACACATGTGATTAAGTCCAAGAAATTCGTGCTTCAGGAAGGCAGGAGTCATGATCAGCATTGGTTAAAGATAAGGGAATAGGAAAGGTAACAGTTTATTTGGACCTGAACTTAGTGGGATGGTTGAGGGGATTTGTCAATGGTGCAATCTATGTTGATTGGAGAGCATACTGGAATAATACAATTAAAATCTGTAGAAAAAGATTTGAAGTGGAGAGGAAGAAAAATGCTAAAGAAACTGTTAGGAGTGACTTTTGAGCCAAACTTAAATAATCCTTTTTTTGGTTCAACCTGAGGTGGGTGGACTTGACCAACGGGTGATTGATCCTTCTAGGGTGTCTCCATCATATGGTTTTGTTCAATGTTGGACTTCATGGTAATAATGCAATGATAAACCATTGTTGTGTTCTATCGTCATCTTCTCCTCAGACGCATAGGTGCGAGGATGGATGATAATGAAAGTGAAGTAACAAAGGTTCAGACTTGTTCACCACAAGACGAGGATGTATTTGCATGGTGCACAACTTCATACATTGACAAGAATAAAGAGAATGCTAGAAATAAGGGTAATTTGAAAATGAAAGTTGGAGGCTCTAGATTGTGTACTTAGCATTGTAGATTGGGAAAAGGGAAACAAAATGATTTTCCAATCGTACGGGTCTCAAAGTAGCAAGTTAATGAAGTAAAGGATTCTTCCTTGGATGTGCAGAATGTCTCAATGATTCATATTGATCCTTAGATTGGGGAACCATTTGTTAAAGATGGAAAAGAGGCAGGTATGATTCCGTAGGGTGAGATGGTTTTTGAAGTTGGAATACAAGACGGAGTGATGCATGAAATAATTTTTGATGTAAATATGGGGGAAAGAGATGAAATCATGGAGGACAAGAGAGAAAATGATTTAAGAGACCAAATGATTGAAGAGGGAAGGGAGGTTGGGACAGGTTGTGCTGTGGCCGAGTCGTTGGATTTAGAAGTGTACAAGGGAAACAAGAAGTACAAAACATTTTTTTTTTTGGGACATAGGGGGTAGGATTGAAACCAAAGGTTGAACCTTCAGAAGAGGAAGATGAAATTGTTTTGGATGAAACTCATGAAATTGGAAAGGAAATGGACTTGGACATAGTGGTTAAAAAAAAGTGGAAGTAAGTAAAATTTTGGGTTATATTTTTTCTTGGAGGGGAGGAATTTGCAAGGAAGATGTTTAGAGAGTTGGAAGCAGTATCTTGTAGGAAATCGCAAAGTAGGGAAGAAGCTAATTCATGAAATCAGGGGGGTTCCACACGTAATTTGATGGAAAAGGAAGAAGAATCGAGGAATTTTGATGTTGAAGTTGATGCATGTGAAGATGTTAGAGAGCGGGAGGCAACTCTTTTTTTTTGTGAAAAATGCAATTTTCAAATTAGAAAGACTTAATGATTGTACTAAGAGGATTAGAGTGAGTGAGCATATACCACAAGTTCACTTGGTCCAATCTCCAAGCTAATCCAATATGCTCCAAGTTGGTTAGATTTTGTTTACTTTGGACGGGGAAGAGTACTTGGGAGGTATGGCTTCAGGAGCTTTACCTAGGGTGACTTCAAACCATTGGCCTATTTCCATTGCCAAGGAAGAATTTAGAGGGAGTGACCCTACACTGTTCAGATTTGAAAACATGTGGCTCAATAAGGGTCTTTTGGAGAGAGTCAAGGAATGGTGGGAAGGAAGTCAGCCGAGGGTTAAATGGAAGGGCATGCTATTCCATAGGAAGTTGAAGGATCTGAGAGCCAAAATAAAAGAATGGAATATCCGCCAATTTGGGAGACTTGAAGAAAGAAAACAAGAGTTAATTAGCCAAATTGGGGAGCTGGATTTTAAAGAAGAAAATGGAACCTTTGGAGTGGAAGATAAAGATTTGAGATGGTCCCTTAGGAAGAAGTTTGAGAATGTGTTATTTAAGGAGGAGATCAGTTGGAGACAAAAATCTAGGCAAGTGGTTTAATGAAGGAGATAGTAATACTAATTTTTTTTTCATGCTTTGCAAATGGTTAGAAAAGAAAGAATTTTATTTCTTAATTGGAGGTGAATGGGGCATCATTATCAACAAAGTGAGATTGAAAAGGCATTTGTGGGTCATTTTAAATCTATTTTAGGAGTCCCCTAAGGGGTAAGGTGTGACTGGATGGGTTTGAGTGGCCAAGATTATCAGAAGATCTTAAGAATTGGGTGGGGAGGGGTTTTGATTTGGAAGAGATCAGAGAAGCAATTTTTTCTTTGGATGGATCAAAAGCCCTTGGGCTGGATGGTTTCACAATGGCATTTTATCAGGGTTGTTGGGAGATCCTAAAAAATGATATCCAAGGAGTTTACAATGAATTTTTTAGGAGAGTTGTGATTAATCCTGGTTAAACTCCATGTTCATTGCCTTAATTCCAAAGAATGATGATGTTGTACACCCCAAGGATTTTAGACCCATTAGCTTGGTGAATAGCCTCTACAAAATTATTGCAAAGGTGCTTTCTCGTAGAATAAGGCATGTTCTCCCTTCCATTGTTTCCCCAAATCAAGGGGGCTTTTGTGAAAGACAGACAAATCATTGATCAGATTCTTATAGCTAATGAAAGTGTTGGAGAAGTGAAAAAGGTGGGAAAAAAAGGCTTTGTTTTTAAACTTGATCTGTAGGAAGCCTATGATTTGGTGGATTGGGATTGCCTTTTAGAGGTTTTGAGGAGTTTTGGGTTTAGAGACAGATGGTGTAAATGGATTAAGGGGTGTATCAGGACTTGTCACTACTCTGTTTTGGTGAATGAGAAAGTTGACCATTTTCAAGCTCTTGGGGGAATTAGACAAGGGGACCCTTTCTTTCCCTTCCCCTTCACTTTGATTGTTGATGTTCTTAGAAAACTAGTCTCTTGGGCGGATTTTAGAAATTTGGTGAAGGGATGGAGTGAGGGTAGAGAGAGTGTGCCAATCACCCATTTACAGTTTGCATGAGATACTATCTTGTTCTGTGAAGGGGGAGATGGGAGGTGGACACAGAATTTGAACTTGGTGGTTCCATTATTTGAGAAAATATTTAACTTAAAGATGAATCTTGATAAAAGTTGCATTGCAGGGATCAACATGGATCAGAGGGAGATATCTGATAATGCTGAAATCTTAGGTTGTGGGGTGGCTCAGTGGCCTTTGATTTATTTGAGGCTTCCTTTGGGTGATAATCCAAGATGTGCTAGTTTCTGGAACCTAGTGATGGAAAGATTTACCAAAAGGCTTGCATCTTGGAAGAAAAGCTATTTGTCTTTGGGGGGAAGAATTACATTGGTTAGGTCTACTTTGGCTAACTTGCCTATC